CCTGAGAGTACCTTGAAAGAGATGAGAAAGGCTTGTGAGATCTTAGGAGTAGGAACGACTGGAAGTAAGGCACAAGTATGGAAAAGAATGAAAGAAGCAGTTGCTACGAGCAAGCTCAAAGAATTGGTGGAGATTTCGAAGAAGATTGATGAAGAGTTTTCAAGAAAGCCTGAAGGAGAGAAAAGGCCAGAACCACCAAGTGAAAAAGAGAGAAAACTGCATGAGCTTACGCATCTGCCAAAGGCAGACTGGTGTGAAAGTTGTACCGCAACAGGGAGCAGAGAAGACAATTTTGACGTATCTGAGAAGAAGCATGAAGCATCATTGGTGAGTATGGATTTCAAGTTTACAGGTACAAGAGATGAAGACAACACAAAAGACCCAAAGGATACACTTGCGATTAGCTTGGCTATGGTGAAATCAGGAAACAAAGTTTGTTCATGTGAATCCGGTACCGACGAAAGAAGCTACATCTTATCTTGTTGAAGAAGTTTGTCGCGTGCTGATGTTGCTGAACTCAAAGGTTATACTGAGGACTGATACTGAGCCAGCGATGATATCGTTGAGGAAGAAAGTGCAAGGAATCAGGAAACTGAAGAAATTGGAAACGGAAATCCAGGATGTATCTCCTGATGCACATGAAGGATTGCAAGTTGAAAGATGGGTTCAAACGGTGAGAAATCTGTCAAAGACGTTGGTGTACCATGCTGAAACGGAAGCAAAGGTGAAGGTTACTTCGGAATGCACATTGTACCCATGGGCAGCAAGACACGCAGGATTCCTGTTGAACAGGTTTGTCGTTCAGAAAGGAAAAATGCCATTTGAAGTTTGTTCGACAGAGAGTACAAAGGAAGATTGGCGCCATGGGGAAGTGTTGTGTTAGGAAAGCAGTTGCCAAAGGTGAAAGAGAAAGGAGAAGCATGGAGAAAAGGAATTTTCGTTGGAAAAGATATGGTGAGCAACATGAATTTGGTGAGTACGAACCAAGGAATCATCAAGTGCAGAACGATGAGACAATGCACGCCGGTGTATGACGCCGAGACAATGGCCGTGGCGGCTGGTACGCCATGGGACCATAATCAACAACATCTGGTGACAAAGACAAGACAAAACGAACGACTACCACCAACAAGCGGATTGGAAGCGATAGCCGATGGAAGAATGTTGCCGAAAGGACCTCAAGGAAGGAATGGTGAGACGGATGAGTATGCACCAAGTGATGGCCCTGGACCTGATGAAGCAGGATCTGATCCGCCGACGAGTCAGGAAACCAGAAGTGAAGGAGATGATGATGATGATGGTGAAGATCCTGGTGAAGGCCAGAGAGGAACAACGAGGAAAAGAAGTGATAGAAGTACATCGTCTGAGGAGATGATACCAGGTGAGGAACCAACGTCATCGCCAACGAACAGGAACTTGGAAGGTCAAGCTGAAGAGTCTGAACCTGTGAGACAAAGAGCCGATGAAGGAACAACTGAAGTTGAAGAAAGACCTGATAAGTTTCAAGCAGTCAGAGTTGAAAATGTGAGAAGCGTGAATGAGATCAAAAGCTTTATGAGGAAAGAAATGCCAAGATACCACATTGATGAAGAAGTGGAACTGGATGAGTTGGATGAATTGGAAACAGCAGTAGGAAGTGAGAATGAAGATGGTGAGTTCATGTCCGACGGTTAAGATGAAGTGCCTGAAGAGATTCCAACATGGTCACATGCGGTGGAAGATGGACCACCAAAGTTGGGCGAAAGTGAACTTGAAAGAGTGAATGGATTATCAAGGAAAAAGGAGATTGAAAGATTGACAGAAATGAAAGTGCTGAAAGAGATGCCTGAAGGAACATACGTGACAAGGTATAAGTTTCTTTCGACGAAAGTGGTATATGATTGGCGACACCGTGAAGGTGCATGGCGAAGAAGAGGAAGATTGGTAGCCCGTGAATTCAGATGGCTATCTTCATATGACATTGCAAGCTTGTTTTCGCCAACNNGAGTTGCAAGCACGGTGAAACTACTGTCAGGTTTGTTTGTATCCTCAAAGGGGTACACGCTCGGAAGCATTGATGTTGGAGACGCCTACTTAATGGTGGAACAGGATGAACCCACCGTCGTGGAGGTCGACGGGAGATACTACCAGTTGGGGTATACACTACCCGGACAGCGAATCGGGTCGAGCGCTTGGTTTGGAAACTGAAAGGATACTTGGAAGAGTTCGGATTGAAGTCCGATGATGGGTTACCAGCGCTGTTTTTCAAAAGACCTGAAGAAGGAGAGAAAGGAATGATAGTGTTGTCACATGTGGATGACATGGAACTGTATGCCTCAAAAGAAGATTTTCATAGGTTGGTTGAATTCTTGAAAGGAAAAGGATTGAAGATCAAGGTAGAAGGACCTATGGATGAAAGAGAAGGAACTATGAGTTTCTTGAAGAGAGGATTTCAAGCAACAGATGATGGAAACGTGGAGATCACGATGAACGCAAAGTATATTGAAGGATTGGTTGAAGTGTTAGGTTTGGAAAAGGCCTATGCAAAGAAGATTCCGTGCCCAGCGGACAACGGAAGAGCTTTTCAAGCACAAAAGAACGGAATGGAGCCTTTGACTCCGGAACTGCACCATGTGTATCGGAAAGGTGTTGGGATACTGTTGTATCTCGCGCCAGAACGACCTGATGTGATGTATGTGCTAAAGAAGTTGAGTACGAAACTGGCAAGTCCGACGAACAGCGACATGGAGTTGTTGAGACGCACCGCAAAGTATTTGAAAGGAACGCCGGATGTGGCATTGGTGCATGGAAAAAGTTACCCAGGAAAAAGCTTCAGAAATGACCAAGGAAGTGAAGAAAATGAAAGAGATCCTTACAAAGAAGAAAGCTTACTGGAGGTAATATCCGACTCGGATTGGGCAGCTGATAGAGAAAGCAGACAAAGTGTTTCTTGTAGAGCTATCATGCTGAACGGAAATTTGATACACTTTCAAAGCAAACGCCAAAAGTGTGTGAGTTTGTCAAGCTGTGAAGCTGAAACAGTAGCAGTAGCAGCTACTTCAATACTGTCAGAAGCTGGGTTCCTGAGAAGTTTGCTGACACGAATTCTTCCTTTCCAAAGATGGTGTTGTATTCGGACTCGAGCAGTTCGAGGCAGCTGATTGCGAGGAAAGGTCTTGGCAAGGCCAGACATCTGGATGTTGATCTGCTGTGGATCCAGCGGATAGATGACCTCAAGATAAAGCCGATTAAAGGAAAAGACAACCCAGCTGATCTGGGAACAAAGTCGTTGACAAGAGACAAAATACGAAAGTATATGACCGCGATTGGTTATATTGGTGATTATCTTGAAAGTGGTGAAGCTGATGTACGAATGGCACGAGGAAAGAGAAGAATGGATGAAGAAAGAATACAAAGGATTATCCAAGCAGTCACGATGGCTGTATTGGTTGGACTTGGTGAAGCTTGTGGAGTTGATGGAGGTGAAGATGAAGAGAAAGGAAGAGGACTGAGCAGTTGCATTGTTTGTTGCATGATTTCAGTAGGAATGCTCATGTTCTTGTGTAAACCTCTACTCTCTGCAGCTGTTTTGCTCAAGGGCAAAGTGAGAGCAAAAGTTGAGAAAGAAGAAAGTGAAAGAAAGGGAAAGAAAAGGAGAAAAAGAAAGATGAGCGGCGAAGGTGAAAGAATGGTTGAAGAAAGTGCCGCCACCAGCGAAGGAGCACCTGGACCTCAGCAAAGCCCAGAAGGTTCGGTGACGCTAGCCGCTAGAGTTCAAAAGTGGAACAATGGCTCTGAAGGGGTATGAAGGATGCTTGAAAGGAATAATCAGAGAAGAGTGCAAAAGCATTCAAGCAGTGGCAGCGATGGAAAGATGGTTAAAAGTCATCAAGAATGAAGAGTATGAAGATCCTGAGAAACTGAGGATTGTTGTAAAGGAACTCAATGCAGAGTTCAGAGAAGGACCCCCAACGCCTGCCGACGAAGCCGGGACTGATCCATCAAGTTCCAGCAGCAGCGAGGATGAAGATGGAAATACAGAAGAAGATGAAGAGGCTAAAAGAAAAGCAGAAGAAGAAGCAAGAAGAAAAGCAGAAGAAGAAGCAGAAAAGAAGAAGGAGGAGCTGAAAAGAAAGCTCCAAGCAAAAGCTGATGAGCATATGGCTGAAGAGCTGCAAAGGCAAGAGATGAAGAAGAAAGAAGATGATTTGCTGGAAATGCAGCAAGCTGCAGAAACAAGGAGGCGTAACCAGGTGAAGAAAGGACGAGCCAAAGCCTCAAGGCCTAGCAGCAGCGATAGTTCGGAACCTGAGTCAGAAGAGAAGGAGAAGGTTGCCGAAGAGAAAGAGGAAGACAAACAGATGGCAGAAGAATCGGAGACAGCTAAAGAACCAGAGCAGGAGGACAAGCAAATGGCAGAAGAATCGAAGGCAGCTAAAGAACCAGAGCAGGAGGACAAGCAAATGGCTGAAGAATCGGAGGCTGCTAAAGAACCAGAGCAGGAGGAAGAGGCTATGAGTATGGCTGAAGCCATCAGACAGTCCTACAGGATCACAGATGAGACGATAGCATCACTGTTGGAGGACGACAAGATGTCGTCTATCAGAAGCGTTATGTTGACGCTGGAAGATCCTATCCAGGACTTTCCAACTGCATATGGAGCGAAGTTGGAGCGATTAGCGATTGAGTTCACTGAGGGGACCGGACCGCTCCAGGAAGCAGTTGATCGTACAGAAGAGGAACTTGAAGAAAATGATGTGAAGAAGGATAGTGCAAGAAATAGCTTTGGTGAAAAAGGCTGAAGCAGAGATGAAGAAAATGGAGGCTGATGCTGAAATCGCAGAAGCTGATGAGATACTGAAGAATATTGCGATGGAAGCTGAGAACCTCCAAGCTGGAAAGAAAACTGTCAAGGAAACCCTCAATTCTTCGCAAAGGTTTACGATTATGCTGAAAGACACTGTGGAGCAGATGAAAAGTGCCACAGCGGAAGATGAGGAACTGAAGAGCCGGTTATTCCAGGAGGAAGCGAAGAAGGAGAAAAATCCTCAATTGGCTATGCTGAAAATGATGATGAATAAAAGGAAATTGGCCGGAGGAAGTGTGACTCCGGTGAGCGGAGTGTCTCTGAGTGAGACTAAAGAAGGAGGAGAACAGAAGAAGGTTCGAGGCTCGGACAAACCGTCTGAACCAAAGCTCCCTCCGCGAGTCAAGCCGGAACCGAAGAGCGCACCAGACGTGCTGAAAGACAAGGAAAGAAAAGAGCGAGAGGCCGAAAGCCCGGCCGGAAAGGATGAAAAAGGTGGAAGGAAAAGGCGCGTGAATCCTAAGTGGATGCTGGAGAACGCTGAAAGCAGCCAATTCAGTTGCTTTTTCTGCATGGCGCAGACCCACAAAGCTAAAGATTGTCCCAGTATGTGGGAACTAATCCGTATGAGGAAAGCGCTGATACCATCGGCTGCTCAAAGACAGCAGCAACGTGCCGACTTATTCTGTCAAGTCTGCTACGACGAGGGCAGAGGATATGATTTACTGCCGGAGAATTGCAGTGACAGGAATGCCCGGAGAACCCGCTACCCGGGGTTCGACGCTCACACTTATCAAAAGTGTTATTCGCATAACAAAATGAGCCCAGAGCAAAGGCAGAGGAATGACGATGAATGTGAGAAGATTATCAACAGCCAAAGGCAGCAGGGTGGAAGAGCAAAGAGAGCGAAAGTCATTGAGGTTGAAGATGATGATGGAAAGAAAGGTGAAAGAGGCAGTGAGCCGAAAGGTGGAAGAAAAGAAGGAAAGGGCAACAATATTCACGGCTGAGGTAACTCTGCCAAAGGAACCAATAGTTCCAAATCCCAAATGGGGAGAAGAAAGCAAGTTGAAGCCAGCCCAGGTGAAGAAGCCTGAGGAGAAAAAGATGCCCACGAAAGACCGCAAAGAGAAAGAAAAGAAAGAAAAGAAGGACGAGAAGGACAAGAAAGAGAAGAAAGAGAAGAAAGAGAAAAGGGTTGACGGAAGCCCTGAGAAGTACTCAGAGAAGGATGTCCGAGATACGGAGTGAATGCCGAAGATGATTGCGGTATTCGAGTTGTGAGGGCGGAACACCGCCAATGGAGAAATTCGAAGGGCAAAGCTGAATTGCCTGATGTTTCAAAGCACCTGGAGACAAAGGTGTGCGCAAAGTCCGGCACCAGGACTATAAACAAGGGTGGATGTATATAATGCTATGGAAAGAAGCGTGCGAAAAGGGAAAGAGAATTCCCAAGGCAGCTGTGAATCAGCTCACGACAAATGGCACCGCGAGCACTACGAAAAGCCGAAAAGCTTTACTTTTGGGAACCATCGTTCTCGGTTCGAAGACTTCAAAGTCCAAGCGACGGACGTTTTCACTACGAGCCGAACCGCGAGTACCTTTCGCGAAGAAAAAGAAGTGAGCGCAACGTAGTTTTCTGGAGCCAGTGAAGAGTGAGAGCGCTTTGTGTTAGTTTCACAACCTTTCAGGACAATGAAGAGAAGATGAAATGAAAGAAATGGCTCTATGGAGCATGCGGAAAGAGCTGAAAGTTGCTCAAGTGAGCATGCGACAAATGTGGAAATGGACTGTAGCTGAATGTTTGAAAGTTCGAGTCAAGTCAGGTGAGGACTTGAATCGAAGAGGGCCCATCAAACACCTCAATTTTCTGTGTGTCCCTAATTGGGACATATGTAGCTATGTTTCACTCCGCTACGTGTAGGCTCAAGGAGACCGTAGACAGCCCGTGAGCCGTCTGTGGAAAAGTAAAGAGCGATCCGGTGAATCAAGGGAACCTTAAAGTTTGGTTTAAAACTTTCATTTTCGCTTAGCACGCTCATTGCCTTATTCGCGAGCATTGCTGTAGATGGAATACTTCAGCACGCTGACGTACCCTTCTCATTAAGAGATCAACTGGAGCCATCTGTTTTTAGATGGCTCAGTGGCGCGTGCTATGTAGTAAAGAGGGGGGGCCTGATGTTCATGATTTATGGTACGCATTAATGCTCATGTTTTGGGTAGCGTGTACTTACGCGGCTTGAACCCGTCTCACATCCTCTTATCTGTGAGAAAGAAACAGGATGTTTTCAGAGGAGACGTTTTGTGAGACTTTTCATGGCATGAATTTTGAACTTTCTTTTCATGTCCATGTCGTCAGTGACAATCATACAGTGCAGTCTGGATGAATTAGCGAATCCCGCTGTGGCTGTGGGTTGTCCAAGTTTCGGTGCAACAGAGCACCGTTAGAGATTTTTCGTTCACAGATTCCGAGTCTGCTGAGCCAAGCCTTTGTTCGTAGCTTTGTTTCCTGCCGCTGCTCTGTAGGGGGTGGAGGGGCAGCTTCGGAGCAAGAGCTTTTATATCAAA